GTGAGGCCAGCACTGCTGTGATCTGTGTGCTGTTGGTTCATTTGGTCGGCTAGTACCTCCCCCGGTCTGTGTGGGCAGGAGAAGCTTGGATTTAACCCCAGCCCTCGGGACGGGTTGTCGCCATCTGCTGTCAGGGGACCAGGGTAGAGCAAGCTTCCTGCCAGGGATGCTGCTGGGGACCCAGCGCCTCCATGGACCAGGCTGCAGGGGAGCAAATGGTCCCAGAGCAGGGCAGCAGGACTGCTGGGCCCATGGGGAGCCAGGAGAGGGACACAGACTGGGCCCCGTGCCATGTCTGAGCTGAAAGAGAGCCTATGGTGATGAGGAGCAGGCACGCCAAAAAGAATGGGCTTCTGTAGAGCGGCTGTCAGACCAGAGCTGTCTGCAGGCCCCTGCACAGTTTACGGGGTTGCCTGCCCGGGCCCCATCTCATGCTCTCATGCTCTTGTTCCCATATTCCAGCTGCAGCTTCTGGTCTGGGGGCTGTGAGCACTGTTCCACCTGCCCACCTACAGCCCAGTAATGCCCTAATGTCACGTGGGTCCTGGTTCAACCCCCACTGAATCTGAAAGGGTTTCCTCGTCCCCTACCTTGATTCTCCTAACTCTGTCAAAGTGTGTACCAGCCACACACTGGGGCTTGCTCATAACTGTCTGCACCTTGCACCATGACAGCTGCGACTGTGGCAGGGGTGAGGGGTGAGCACAGCAGAGCCACAGCTTCAGTGGGAACATTCAGGCAAGAGAAGTGTCCCCCAGTCTGTCTCCCTCCCCTCTTGCCTCGTGCCAGGCCCATCCACCACCCTGCTGACACCCCTCTGTCTCCTCCTATAGATGACGATGCTTTTGAGCCAGCAGAGGCCAGCCCGCCAACCCCAGGGGATGGTGACAGTGAAGATGTGTCACCCCGGTGCCTGGAGCAGCCTCTGCCCTCTGCAGGGGTCACCCTGGCAGACCTGGAAGACTCAGCTGACAGCAGCAGCATCCTGCTCGTACCCCCCGACCCTGCCCAGAGTGGGACGCCCCCAGCCACAGAGGCACTGCCAGGAGTTGGCCGCCACAGCCGCAGTTCCCTCAACACCGTGGTGTAGCGGATGCCCAGCCCATGGCCCCAAGGGGCGTGGAGCACCTGTTTGCTGTCAAGGAAACTCTGATTCCCATGGAGACTTGAAGGGCCCTATGTGAGCCTGGACTCGGCTGCACTGCTGCACACACTCCCCTGTAGGTGTGCCCGTGCATGTAGAGACTGCGCCAGCCTCCCAAGGGAGCGAGCACCTGCACCGAGTCTCCTTGAGGGCTGCAAACACATGCATAGCTTTGGGTCACTGTCTTTTTCTTTTCAAATGACAGAAGAATGGCAGTTTGTTCATGCCACACGTTTCAGAAGTAGGGAACAAAGAAGGTACTGCGGGCCTGGGTGGAGGCCAAACCACACCAGACTGGTGGGCTTGCTCGTGGCAGCACGTTGTTCAGAGGAGCATGCTGCCCAGCCACCAAGCCCCAGAGCTGCCACAGTGTGCCTCGCTAGCCGCTGCCCAGGAAGCACTTCCGGCACCAGTGTTTGTGGACTGTCAGGACTGTCTGGGCAGTGAGTCTGCTTCCGGGCAGACAGCCTTGAGAGTTGCTCCAATGGCTGCTCTGAGGATGGCCCCTCACGGGTTTAGCTTGAACATCAAGGGTGACCCTGTCTTAGCTCTGGTGCCCAAACCCTGAGAAGGGGAGCTTGGAAGGAGGTTGAACTCTACTCTGTCTTTCCAGCGGGGCTCTGCAAAGCCCAGTTCTGGGCCAGAAACCCCTATCCCTAGTCTGTTGGCTTTCTCTCTAACATTACCGTGCATGGCCCCCCAGGAGGCAGCTCTGGAGCTGGGCTGAGGCTCTTAGCCATGCATGAGTGTCCTGGCCCTGGACCCTTCACTGGGCTTGAGGGCTAAGCCAGCTCCTGTTACCCTTTGGAGCCCCCTCCTATTGAATTTGCCCCTGGACCTGGCCTGCCCCACCCCCTCTTTTGTGCCATAAAGGTTTATTTGGGGGGAGGGGTGGCTGAAATTAACATCCTGGGCTGTGTCCACAGTGTCTGCCCCCTGGTGGTCATTGTGTGTCATAGCAATGGGTTGGATGGTTGGACACTTAGCATATTAGCCTTTTCTAGTATATATATAGATTCTTGATTTTCAGCTTTCTTGTTTCTATCATCATAAGATTGCATCGGGAAGTAAGTTGCCTTGTCCACATATTTGTGTGGTGGAGGGCCATGGCCTTCTCATAGCACTGAGCATCTGGGATCAGGACCTCCTTTTTCTGAGAGCAGCGGGGTTTTTCCCTTCTCCTCTAACAGATGGGAATAGCCTGTTCGACTCCATGGCCAGTGGGATGCGTCTCATTGTTAGCTGTATCTCCTCCTTTCTCATCCTGTCCCTGCTGCTTTTCATGGTCCACCGGCTACGCCAGAGGCGCCGGGAGCGCATTGAGTCCCTGATTGGAGCAAACCGTGAGTGCCCTAGCCCCTGCCTATGATGACTACAGTGCAGGCCTGCCCTTGGCTGTGTCCCCAGGGAGAATGGGGACACAGGAAGCAGGAAGGTGCATGGAGGAAGTGGTGGACATGATGGAGGGTGCCGAAAGGCATTCCTGTCCCACCCACCCACCCGCTCCTGGGCTGAGTGCACACCTGGGGCACTAGAGGAGCTCTTTGCAGAACCCGAAATCAGAGTCCATAGGCACATGGAAGAAGGGCGTACCTCCAGTGCCCGCTGACTCTGCACTTCCCTGCCCTTGCTCTCTGAAGCAGTCTGGCCTAGACCATGAGTGCGGGCCTCCTGCTAGGAGAAGGAATCAGCAAATGCCCATGGACATAAGGCAACTTAGAGAGTGCAGCTCACCCTCAGTCCAATTTGCCTGCAGTGGCCTGTGCCCCCAGTAGAGCTGAAATCATCCCTTGTGTCAGCGAACAAGCCAGGGCTCCCCAGTCCTGGGTGGGGCAGGACAAGACAGGTGCAGGCAGGCAGGAGAGGATTCAGAATCAAAGTGGCAAGAATGCTGAAGGCCCTCACTAGCTTCCATTAGGGGCCTTGGTGTCCCTGGAGAGCCCAGGTCAGGTCTGAAGTGTGGACCAACCAAGTTTTCCACCTGCCTCAGTTCTCACTGAGTTGCAGGGTGGGCAAAACTTCAAGGCAATCATGGGCTAGACACCCAGAAACATTTTAGAGCTGGAGGGGTGTGGTGAGGGCAGGCAAACCTCTTGCATGTGAGTGACGAGCGGGGATGTACCGACCGGGGAAGGAGGCACTGGGCGAGTGTCAGGACTGGTGGGCAGTTAGGCACAAAAGTGTGACAGTCGGAATGTCTGGCCTGGGCGGGGGCAGGGCCTGGGCCTGGGGGAGGCAGGGCTCAGGAGCTGAGTGGTGCATCTTCCAGTGACATGACCCTGTTGCTTGTTTCTCACTTCCATTGCCCAGTGCACCACTTCAACCTTGGCCGGAGGATCCCCGGCTTTGATTATGGCCCAGATGGGTTCGGCACAGGCCTCACGCCGCTACACCTTTCTGATGATGGAGAAGGAGGGACTTTCCACTTCCATGATCCTCCGCCCCCCTACACTGCGTACAAGTACCCAGACATTGACCAGCCTGATGACCCACCGCCACCTTATGAGGCCTCCATCAACCCTGACAGCGTGTTCTACGACCCTGCAGGTGCTTCCCCCACAGGGAGAGGGAGCAGCCTGTCACCAACCACCTGGTCTGCAGGGCCAGAGTCTCAGGGGTCCTCCCCAGCGCACAGGGCTGTGAACTCTGCTTCCTTCCAGCCTGCTGTTGCTGTCTCTGGTTTTCCCTTTAAAGTGGAACTGCCACTTGTGGGTTGTCAGGCTCTTCCCAGGGGTGCAGGTGCAGATGACTGCTGACAGTGGTCACTGGTCACCCTGCCTCTTACCTCCACCTGGGAGCACATATTAGCAAGCAGCCCTCGGACACCCAATCCTAGCTCTATGGAGAGCTGGGGACTGGGCATTGGCAGTCGTGGGGATAGGGCTGGCACAGAGCCAACGGCTGGGCTGTAAAGACGTGCACATGTGGTAAGCGAAGAGACACCACCGTGGCATTCTCTCATGTTCTGAGGCAGCTTTGTGGCGTGGGAAGCAAGCATTGGCTTGGTGATGTTGGGCCAGTTACCTGAGTGTGTTCCTCCCAGGGCTGTGCAACAAAGAAGGGATTGCAGGAGCCTTGCCCATTGCCTGGCCTGCCCCTGTCCCTGGTGTGTAGTGCAGATGTCCCACTCTTTTCCCTGTGTGTTACCCTGTAGCACACACATACCCCCACCATACATTGCAGGCAGTGCCCCACCCCAGGGCTGCTGGCTCTTTGCATACCCAGCACAGCAGGATGGGGTGAGGCCAGCACTGCTGTGATCTGTGTGCTGTTGGTTCATTTGGTCGGCTAGTACCTCCCCCGGTCTGTGTGGGCAGGAGAAGCTTGGATTTAACCCCAGCCCTCGGGACGGGTTGTCGCCATCTGCTGTCAGGGGACCAGGGTAGAGCAAGCTTCCTGCCAGGGATGCTGCTGGGGACCCAGCGCCTCCATGGACCAGGCTGCAGGGGAGCAAATGGTCCCAGAGCAGGGCAGCAGGACTGCTGGGCCCATGGGGAGCCAGGAGAGGGACACAGACTGGGCCCCGTGCCATGTCTGAGCTGAAAGAGAGCCTATGGTGATGAGGAGCAGGCACGCCAAAAAGAATGGGCTTCTGTAGAGCGGCTGTCAGACCAGAGCTGTCTGCAGGCCCCTGCACAGTTTACAGGGTTGCCTGCCCGGGCCCCATCTCATGCTCTCATGCTCTTGTTCCCATATTCCAGCTGCAGCTTCTGGTCTGGGGGCTGTGAGCACTGTTCCACCTGCCCACCTACAGCCCAGTAATGCCCTAATGTCACGTGGGTCCTGGTTCAACCCCCACTGAATCTGAAAGGGTTTCCTCGTCCCCTACCTTGATTCTCCTAACTCTGTCAAAGTGTGTACCAGCCACACACTGGGGCTTGCTCATAACTGTCCGCCTGCACCTTGCACCATGACAGCTGCGACTGTGGCAGGGGTGCTGGCACAGAGCCAACGGCTGGGCTGTAAAGACGTGCACATGTGGTAAGCGAAGAGACACCACCGTGGCATTCTCTCATGTTCTGAGGCAGCTTTGTGGCGTGGGAAGCAAGCATTGGCTTGGTGATGTTGGGCCAGTTACCTGAGTGTGTTCCTCCCAGGGCTGTGCAACAAAGAAGGGATTGCAGGAGCCTTGCCCATTGCCTGGCCTGCCCCTGTCCCTGGTGTGTAGTGCAGATGTCCCACTCTTTTCCCTGTGTGTTACCCTGTAGCACACACATACCCCCACCATACATTGCAGGCAGTGCCCCACCCCAGGGCTGCTGGCTCTTTGCATACCCACACAGCACAGCAGGATGGCGCCACCACTAGAGCTGAGTGCCTGGTGGCTGCATGCCACCTTCCTGTCCTTAGCACAGGGTGCTGGGTGCCCTGCTCAGGGGCCTTTTGACTGAGGGACCCTGTTGCCTACTCCTGAGCAGTGGTCTTGTCTCCTGACACCAGGCTTTTAGCATTTCTGAGGTTTGGAGATTAAGCGGGTTCTGTGCGATTTTTTAGCACATCCATATCTTTTCTACGTTGAATGTCTAGATCTTTTTTGCGTGTGTCTGAATGTGTATGTGTGTGTGTGTGTGCGTGTACGTATATGTCCAAGTGTTTGCAGGTGGTGATGGTACACAGGAACTCAATCTTCAATTTCCTGGGCCAACATGGCCTCTTGGGTGGCACTGAGACAGGGTCGGGTCTGTGCCTCTTCTGAGGCAGGTTCTCATGCTCATCTTCCTAACCCAGCCGCCCAGCTCCTGGTCCTCCTCTCAGCCTTTCTGTACCAGCATGCAGCAAGGGAGAGCTGGCTTTCAGTGGGAGCTTCCATGGTGGTCTGATGACAGACCTCACAGGCTCAGCCCAGTTCTAGCCACATTCTCATACTTTGGTTGGAAACCAGTTTTGTTCTTGAGTTGTCCCACAAGGCTGACCAGAGATGTGAGTTTTGTCACTGAACTGCCTGTCCTTGGGCTCGGCCCGCAGAAGCCAGAGTGTGTGCTCCCCTTGCCAGAGGGCTGCTACTTGGAGAAGGGCATCCTGGGCACATGTGCCCAGGCTGGCTCCTGAAAACAAAGCAGGAAGTGGGTGGTACCTCCAATGTGTGCTGGACACAGGGCTGCCAATTTCCAAAGCAGCAGTCACAGCCTTGTGGGTTAGGGTCCTGAGTGGGCCTACTTTGAAATGACCACCCCAACGGAATCCTGTAGGATCTGGCCCCCACAGCACCAGGTCCCCTTATTCCAGTGCCTCTGGCCCAGGCTTCAGCTGTGTGTACAGGGCAGTGGCTGACACTAGATGTGTGGGACTGGGGAACTTGGGGGCCGAAAGATTGCTGGGGACTGGTATGCAGAAGGTACTAAGGAGAGGGCCCTGAATCAGATCATGGGGCTGCAGAGGGTGGGCCCAGAGTGTTCAGCCTACTGGCATTCTTGGGCTGGGCAGAAGGCTGCCTGCTGCCCACTGAGTCTCCCAGAGCTGAGCTCGGCTTGAAGGTGGTTGTGAGGGCATCGGGGAAAGCTGTGGTCTGTCCAGTCACCACCCTTTGTAAGATCTGATTGTGCTCCAGGTCCAGCCCTGGCTGAGACTCTTGTGTTCCTGTGAGAGGAGGACTCCCCACCTGATGCACACGGGCCTCCAGAGGGACAGGCTAAGGTCTCGGGAGGGCCTCCTCCCCCAGGACCTGACCTGCCTATGGAGGTGGGAGTCGAATCTGTACATTGTCTCAATGCCTGTTTTTTATGTTTTCCTTTCACTAAGGGTTTTTAGTTTGGGTTTATTTTTGGTTAGGTTGGCACTAATCCTTAAGATGCTGTGAGAACCATTTCATCCAAATGCCAAATAAATTCGTGTTCTGGAAGAGGCATAGTCAGTCCTTGGTGTGACTCATGTTGGGAGTGGGAGGCTCTGGCCAAGATGGAGCCAAGGCACAGGTGCAGAGATGGGGAAGGGGCAGGCTTGGGGCTCTGAGACCCCTCTGTCCCTTCTTTTCTCAGTGGTCCTTTCAATAATTTCCTAGTACGTGATGTGGGACAAGAGGGCACCCAGGGCACTCAACCTTTGGCAGGTCTTCGTGCTCATCTTCCTAACCCAGCCTCCTGGCCAGACCAGTGAGTCCCTTGGAGGGGATAGGAGCTTCAAGGAGGTGGCCCCTCGTTCCTGAACACATCTGTGGGATGGCAGGCTGTCCTGGGCACCCTGGGTGCTGTCAGCGCCGAGGACAGTTCGATGGGTACCCTAAAGTGGGAAGAGCCCAGCCCTCTGGGGATTGGAAAGAGTCGCAGGGTGCAGACCTATCCCCCACCTCACACACACACAGTCATGCTCACACCTGTGGGCACACCGAGCTCTTTCCAGAAAGAGTTGCCTTCTCTCCTGGTCACCCTGAAAGGAGAAATCAGAGCCTCACTTTCCAGGAGAGTGAACTGTGGCTCGGGCCCCAGCCTGGGGTCCTCTCCACAACTGAAGAAGCCCAGTCCCCTCATTGACCTGGGCTGGTCAAAGGGGGCCAGCTGTGGCTTCCTGGAGACCTGTTTTGGGGGTGGTCCTCCAAATGAGGTAGAGTGAAGCCGAGCTCCATCACACATGGGTCAGTGGGGGAGCTGGTCAGAGGACATCTGGTCTTGGGGTATCCTAGGCTGCTCCAGTGTGGGAGACCCTCCTATGCCCTCCTCATTCCAGCCCCTCAAGTCAAGGCCACTAGGATCCAGGTGCCTTCTCCCTTGGATTTCCATCTTGGTGGCCTTGTCACTCCTGGTCCCTGTAAATGGGCATCTTTATAGCTCTCACTCCTAGGAGGGTTAATGGGGGGCAAGGGAGAGTTGCATAAAGATTTTAGCTTCAGGAAATGGCGATTGTTACTGGCATGCATCCCTAGTATCAGAGCCTGGTGAGCCCAGACTCCCTCTTCCCTGCTGTTGGCCCCGCCCGGGCACTGCCCCTCTGACCCACATGGAAAGCCTACAGAATGTAGCCACGCCCACCTGGCCAATACATACACAGCCGCCTGGCTGCACCAGCCTCCACACTACCATTCCTGCCAAGTCGCTACAGCAGCCGCACCATGGCCCGTCTTCACGCCCACCTTCCTTACAGTGTTGCAGGTGGTGTGTGCGAACTCGGAGGGTAAGCACCAGGATTCTGAATCCCCGACCCCCACCCCCTGACCTAGGCCACACCCTGACACACAGTCACCTGCAGGCAAACTGCCCCACAGGGAAAGAGGGCAGAAGGGTCTCCTGGCACATGGCCACATACCTACAGTGGGGACTTCCACCACCGGCTCACATGTGGGCTGACCGTCCCTTCATGCTATTCAGACAAGAGAAAGACCCCTAAGCGACCCTCCACTACCCCACCACAACCAGTTTCAGAGCCCCATCCAGAACCCCCAGGTCTCTCAGAGGGAGAAGCACCCCCACTCCCAACCTACACACTGAATCCCTGGTCAGATGAAAGGAGAAGAAACGTTAGCAGGTTCCAAACATACCACTTGCCCTGGCCAGGTGGCTCAGCTGGCTGGAGCATCATCCTGTGCACCAAAAGGTTGTGGGTTCAATTCCCTGTCAGGGCACATACCTAGGTTGTGGGTTCTATCCCCAGTTGGGGCACATACAGAAAGCAACCAGATCGATATTTCTCTCCCTCCTCCTTCCTCTCTAAACATCAATAAAAACATGTCTTCAGGTAAGGAATGAATGAATGAATAAAATAGATGAAAACACCAACACCTGCTAAAGCCTAAGATTACGCATTTTATTTCAAAAATGAGCAGGCACTGACCCCAGGCCACTGTGAGCGGTTAAAGGAAGACTCCAGGTAACGTTCCCTGGAGGCCAGGAGGGGAGAAGCACTGGTTCCATGTTCTACTGCAGGGCTGCCCTGGGTGGGTGGGTCCTGGTGGCAGGGCCGGCTGCACCCAGACGACACTGGGGGCTTAGCCTGTGGAGTCTGCGTGTACATGACACTTTCTGGAGAGACACCGGCATCCAGGTGTCTGCCTGTGGGAGGCTACTGAAGGGGTAAGGGTCCTAGGTGTCGCTGTCCAAAGCAAAGCTGTGAGTGCCGTGTGGCTGCTGACCAGCTGCCTCTGAACAGCCGCGCTGTCCTGTGGGAGGCCGGTTTGGTGGTCAGTAGCGTGAAGCTGGCCAGTCAGGCCGCTGTGCAGTTGGTGCCTGTGGAATGTGGCTGTATATCTAGGTGACACTGATCTCAGTGGCACTGTGTCCAGGAGACACTGTTCCAGCAGCCCACGTGTCCCCGGTGTCTGCTGCTTGGTGTGTGGTCACACTCCATGTCCCAGTCATGGAGGCCCGGCCTTTTCCCAAACCCTTAAAGGAAAAAAAACCCTGCAACCCCCTCCTCCTAGCCCGAGGGGTCCCACCTGCTGCAAGCCCTCGGCTCTCCCTGGAGGCTGACATGCCCCAGGACCAAATATTCCCCAGCTCAGAGGCCAAAAGGGGCTCCAGGCCTCCTCCAGCCCGGACTCGGTCTCCAGAAGTTATCGCTGGCTGCGCTGAGCCAGGTCCACGAGGGGACACATCTGTCCGTTCACCCCTCCGCCAATGGGGCCTCCAGCACTGCGCCTAGCTCACCCTCCGTGCGGCCACCCTCAATCCCCACCACCCGGCGGGGCCCCGGGGGGCACCGGCGTCTTCTTGAGGTTCTTCCGGGCAGGGGCCT